CCAAGAATAACAATAACTACAACAGTGAAGGAAGGGAAAAGGCATAGAATAGCAGATCCCTCAAATGAAATACTTTGCTGCCTGCATACCAACAGAGGTTTAAATGGAGGCTCCACCTTCCGAGCCAGTAGTTCTTCCCAATTAATATGTCTGAAGAATGGATGAGCCTAAGGGGGGAAAAAGAGGGCAAGAAGTCAAGAGGAGACTTTTCAGGATTCACAAATTAGCTGTCTGTTGAAGTTAAAAATTACAAAATAGACTATACATAAAAGGAACTACATACAACTATCACAAATTCATAAAATTAGCATCATCTTCCCCTCAAACCACCGAACATGCCAATCCCTACTTGAACTTCTCCAGCGTCCCCAGGACCAGCTCCAAGACGAGAAGCAGCATTTCTTTTCAGCAGCTTTAGGGAAAAAAAATTTATGAACCTTACTTAGTCAAACTGATTATTTCTTTATAGAATACGTCTACCATGCCATGAGAAAATATCATTAATTACTCAAAATATTGTTTGGATTAAAAAAGAGCCTTTAAATAAATGCATGTTTTGTCTTTAAGACTAAAATTTTAAATTCATTATCTGAATGATTCTTTATTCAGAATGTAGGGCGTTTGCCTTGCACATAGCCCAACAAGGTCGACCCAAGTTCAATTCCTCTGCCCGTCTCAGAGAGCCCAGCAAGCTACCGAGAGTATCTCGCCGGAACGGGAAAGCCTGGCAAGTTACCCGTGACGTACTCGATATGCCAAACACAGTAACAAGTTTCACAATGTTACTGGGCCTGCTTGAGCAAATCAATGAACAACGAGAGGAGAGTGACAGTGACAGTGATTTAAATCCTAGGAATTGAACTTTATATTTGTGTGTCTATTTAAAAACCTTACCTTTTTAAGCAGATCTCTGGCTTCTTGCGTGAGGTAGGGAGGCAAATTGAGTTTACATTTGAGGATTTTATCAATTGTTTTCTTTCTATTCTCCCCAGTGAATGGGGGCTAAGAGTAGAAGAGTAAAAAAAAAAAAATTAGTATATAAAATTTCAAATAACAGAATTATTCATTTCCTATGTCATTTATGCACAGAGATCAGAAATTTGTGGTATAAAATGGACTGACTACTAAAAACCTACAGTGGTTAAGCAAAAGGACAGAGGAAACCGAAACATCCGCAGGAACTCTGGCTTTCATCATTCACTTTCTATGAGATACTTTGTGAGCTACATATGCCAATGTTTCTACATTTATATAATAAGGGCAGTATCTATTATACATCTGCTTCACAGCACTGCAATGACATGAGTAACTTAAATAATTTACTTTTTTGTGTTCGGATCGCACCAGTAATATTCATGCCTTACTTCTGGGTCTGTACTCAGGGATCAATCCTACCACTGCTCAGGAGACCACATGCGGTTTAAACCTGGGTCAATCACAAGAAAGATGGCGTTCCCCATTGTACTCTCTCTCTGACCCCAAAATAAGTTTTAAAAAGTGCAGGAGCCTATATTAATAATGCACTACTCATGTTAAATTTTGGAAAACAACTTCAATAGTAACGTTTTCAAAAAGTATAGGACATAGCCTTGGGTTCAATCCCTGACATTTAAAAAAAAAAAGCACATGAAGAGATCTCTTGCTATCGTGATTTAATAACCATTTGGAACATATCATAATACATGCATGCAACTTTGAACTGTGCACCTACTGCTCCAGTCAGCATGTCATACATTAATGCTCCCAAACTCCACCAATCCACAGCACGATTGTGGCCACTTCTCATCAGTATTTCAGGGGCCCTACAATGAGAAAAAAAAATATCTTAAAAAAAAAAAATTCCCATTTACTTATCATCTAAAGTAGAATTTATAAAAAATAGACAGAACATATTATAATAGAAAACTTAGCACATCCTTACTTTAACAGATAAAAAGTTAGCTATTACCACCAAACCAGTTATATTTCTTTCAAAATGAAGCTCACATGTATTCTATTGTTCCACAAAATGTGTGCGTGACTGTTCCATCATGAATAGATTCTTTGCATAATCCAAAGTCTGTTAGTTTTACATGACCTACAATGAAAGATTATAGCATCATTATTTGATGAATTCTAAGTAGGCACAGTGTTTGAATGTAACATATAAGATAATAATCTACCCTTATATATAATTTTCTCTTCCTTAACCTGTTTTTGAAGACTCAAGGACAACCAGGGTGCTCATAAAATGGAATCTTAATATCTACTATTTAAGGTCAGGATAGAATCAGTCATCTTTTGTCAAAGATAGGATTTTATCCAGTAAAAAGAAAACAAAAATAATAAAATAGCTTGATAAGGCTTGAACTTTAACCTTACCCACAACACATTACCATTTTATGTGTGTGTAGAGGTATGGATGTTTGTCCATACCTGGTGGTGTTCAGGGCTAGTCTTAACTCTGTGCTCAGAATTTGTACTTAGAGGATGACATGGGCAATCAGGGTATCAAATGAACCAGAATCATCAACTTCACTGGCAAGGCAAGAGCCTTACCTTCTGTACTGTTTCTCTGGCCCTTGAATGCTTTACACCATTTTGAGATTATTAGTCTTGGGGAAACTTCATAATATCCTGTTTAAATATATAGTTCTAATATATTCTATACCTTTTAATGGTATAGTCAAGTACTGCTTTAAAACCAAAAACTAAAAGAAAGAGATACGGCTTCAACAATCCCAGGGATGGCCCTGTATTGACATCTGGCAGCATTTTTTAAAAAAAGGAAAGAAAAGGGACAAGAAAAATAGTACAGCAGGTAAAGTGCTTGCCTTGCACATGGTCAAACTGGTTTCATCTCCAGCACCCAATATTGTCCCTTTATCCCCACCAGGACTGTTCCCTGAGTGCAGAGCCACGCAAAAATAAGCCCTGAGCTGCAAGATGTGGACAAAATACTAAGAGAGAAAAAAAGGAAAAAGAAGAGCAAGAAGAAAAAAATTTCAGCGGTCCTACACTTACAGGCTTATTTCAGAGAAAAGGCAATGAGAAAATACATGCTAGGGGCCGGAAGCACAGTATGGCAGGTAGAGCATTTGCCTTGCACATGGCTGGACCTGGGTTTAATCCCCAACATGCCATATGGTCCCACGGCACTGGCACTGCCAGGAGTGATTCCTGAGTGCACTCCTCAGCATCACAGGGTATAACACAAACCGCCACCACCCGCCAAAAAAAAGGAAAGAAAAATGCATACTAAATTGACAGAAGAAATTTCAACTTTATTTTCATAGAACCATTTGATATACCCTATTAAAGAAATCAACTAGTTACTTCCCTATTCCAGCCTTTATCTTAGAATTCAGATCAAGAAGCCAGAAAGATAGTACTGTAGGTAAGGTACTACTTTGCATGCTTCTGACCTGGATTTAATCCCCAGTACCCCATGAATCCCTGATACTGACAAGAGTGATTCCTGAGCAGAGCCAGGAGTAAACCCTGAACACCTCCAGATATGGCCCAACACCCCCCCCCCCCTTTCCCTTGAAAAAAGGGGTAGAATTTAGATCAGAATTCACGTTTGGATCAGAGAGCAAGCTGGGAGAGGAAATACATAGATTGCCTTAATTTCTCCAAAAGTGAGAGAAAGAAAGAGAAATCACAATTTGAAATATTTTTTTTATTGGCATTAACTGTCCACACACCAAAACTGTTAACTACCTTAAGTAGCACTATAAACATCTGAGGTTCAGCAGTTTACAGCAGCCCTGTTTGACAGGTTGCTCCTTGGGAGTATAAATGAATTGTGAAGTCTATGCAACCCAAACCTTTTTCAAATACACTGAACTGTCTGTAGTTACCTGTAGTTGTAATCAAGGCTGACTCTGCTGTACAGAGTATTATAATGCTTGTCTGATCTTTGTTTTCATTGCAAATAATAAGAATAAACTGATGCCTATTAAATGCTTTATTTCTAAGACTATCATACAATTTTTTTGCTTAATTCTAATCCTCTTCCTTTCTTAAAATAAAATTTATCTCCCAAAAATATTTTTTATAATATTTATATACTTTCAGCATTAAAGAGAAATCTATAAAGTTGTCACTGTTCAGTTTAAGGAACAAATCAAAATTTTAATTTGTATTACTTTCTGGCTCTCCACACTTTATGGAATGAAAAAGAATAACAACCTGGGGCTAGAAAGACAGTACAGCAGGTAAGGTGCTTGCCCTGCAAGCAGTCAATCTGAGTTAGATCCCTGAATTGAGTTAGATCCCCAGCATCCCATATGAAACCCTGAGCACAGCCACGGGCCAAGAGCCTTGCTGGTATGACCCAAAAACAAAAATAAACAAAAAGAATGACAATCTATAAAGAGTAGAGTAACAATTAAGAAAAAAAAGAAAGAAAGAAAAAGCACTTAAGAAAACAATTTTCCTCAAACACCCCCTGACCCAACCTTGCATGTAAATACTTAAATCTGGGGCTGGAGTGATAGCACAGCGGGTAGGGCATTTGCCTTGCATATGGCCAACCTGGGTTCGATTCCCAGAATCCCATATGGTCCCCTGAGCTATCTCCAGGAGTAATTCCTGAGTGCAGAGCCAGGAGTAACCCAACCCCTGTGCATTGCCAGGTGTGACCCAAAAAGCCAAAAAAAAAAAAAAAAGAAACAAAAAATACTTAAATCTAAGTATCATGATGCCATAATTTCTAAAGAAGGAATGTACAGACAGATTATGTGGGGGGCTTTGGAAATGACTGTGACCTATGTGGGAGGATTTGAAGGTGATTATTTACTATAGGATTGTTTACGGTATATCTCCACCTTGGTGATTAAGCATGATATTCTCCGGCTTCAGGTCTCTGTAGATGATCCCCTTTTGATGTAAATGCCCCAAAGCCATGGAAATTTCTGCCAAGTAAAAGCTGCAAACAAAAGTGATTTAATAAAATTAAAAAGATTAATTTACTTAAAGCAGCTTATGTATGGAGTAAAATTCCTTGAAAGAAACAGACATGCACCAAAGACTAAGATTAGTGGGGGTGGGGGTGGGTATGGGGAAAAAGAGATGACAAAGGATGCTGCCAAAAGGCATGGATATTTATGTTTCACTTATTTAGTGAAATTATTAATTGCTTTGTTTCATTGTTTGAAATGCTGAAGTTGCAAAGTACAGAATATGCCAAACTGTCAATGGTGATGATTTTGTTCCGTCTAAGAACTGGGCCAAAAGTCAATGAGACTAAAACAAATTTCTCCCACCCACCCCCAACTTTAAAATCCCCTGAGAAATAGGAACTTCATTATTCTCAAAGATTTGTCTTAAGTCAAAAGATTCCTTAATACCTGACCCTTAACTCCTCCCCCCTCTTATCCCTTATGTAATACAGCTGCATATTTTTAATACAGCTCATACCCGAAGTATTTGCCCTCCCTCTTGCCAGCCAGCCAGCCCACAACTACAAACTGTGTGACACTCAAATTTATCTACCTCAAAAGAATAAAGGGCTGAGTCAACCCTGTCTGCATTCCAATAGCACAAGGCACTGCAATACTGGCTGCATAACAATGTTGCAATGCTGCAGATAACTCCAGGATGGAGAGGGTGTGTCCTAGAGGACTGAGGCAGTTTCACAGCCAGCAGGACCACAAACACAGCCAAGATAGCTCAGAGAGCCTCCTCCAAAAAAGGGCACTTCGTCCCTAAGGTTCTTTAAATGCAGCTTCTGTGTTAGAAAAGGCCTGAAATCAAACAATGGAATGCAGTTTGGTAATTAAGGTAGGGGAAAAAAAACATTTAAGTGTTTTCTATTCACTTAATGTGTAGGACAAACTGATTTACTGTTACCCATAGTCATCTCACAAAAGGATGTTTATATTTTTAATTTGAAGCAGATACCCTCCCAAGAAACAAAAGAGGAGGGTAGATCCCATCCTGGCCATAGAATCAATCCACGGATGATGTGTGCAGGTTTACTCACTTCCCTAAGACTGCACCTTGGGAATTGGAAAGTCTAAAAAAAAAAAAAAAAAGAGATGATTTCTGGTACTTTCCATTGTTCCACACATAAATTTTCATTGGAAAACCACACTCACCCACAGCCAAGGCAGGCAGCTTACCAATTCAAGGAAAGAAAGCCCCAATGAGAATGGTTCTGTAAGGAACTGGCGTGAAGAGGCGGTCCACCCAAGGCCTGGGGGCAAAGGAATGATGTGACCTCTGATAGTTGCCAAGTCCCAAAACTGCTTCTCCCCCTTGAACTCCTGAGTAACTGACTGGCTCCACGACAATTTATTGAATCATTTGGCTGCCCACAGTGAGAACAGTACTTTGCTTTTAATTATATGAATCATTACCTGAATCCAAAGGAGCAAAAAATTTCACTTACCAGGCTGTATCTTCCATAAATATTCCCTCTCTTTCTAACTGCATAAATAGTTCTCCTCCTGTAGAGAAAAATATTGGAAATAAAACCACCTTATTTCCAATCCATTTCTAATGGAGAGTATTTGGGCTTTACTTTTAACCATAACTAAAAATATCAGCCACTGAAAAAAGTGGGGGAGGGGTAGAGGGGTGGAGAGTGAGAACAGCAGGGAAAATGCTTGATGTACATGGTCTCCACCTGGTTCCCCAGCACTGTCAGGAGCTGGGAGTAGCTCCTGAGCAGGCGACACAAAAAAAATCAAAGGGTCTAGAAAAAAAGGATAAAATGCAGGGTGCTCCTGGACTGGTGCTGGACAGGCTCTGAGTTTGTATTCAGAGGCTACTCTGGACTGGGGCTGGAGCGATAGCACAGCAGTAGGGCATTTGCCTGCCGCACCGGGTTCGATTCCTCCGCCCCTCTCTGGGAGCCCGGCAAGCTACTGAGAGTATCTCGCCCGAACAAAGCCTGGCAAGCTCCCTGTGATGTATTCGATATGTCAAACACAGTAACAAGTCTCACAAACACTCAAGCAAATTGATGAACAATGGGAGGACAGTGCTACAGTTCTACTCTGGACTCAAGTATGGCTCCCAGGGGGCTGGAGCAATAGCACAGCGGGTAGGGCGTTTGCCTTGCACGTGGCCAAACCGGGTTCGATTCCCAGCATCCCATATGGTCCCCTGAGAACCGCCAGGAGTAATTCCTGAGTGCAGAGCCAGGTATGACCCCACCCCCAGGAAAAAAAAATCAAGTATGGCTCCCAGTGGTGCTTAAGAATCACACAGTGCTGGGGATGGAAACGAGCCCACGCATGTGTCCAGTCCTTTAAGTCATCCCCTAGGTCCTCGGCAACAGTCTCTTAAACAAGTCAGAAAAGGAGTCTGGGAGACCGCTCAAAGGGGAACACGTTTTACATGCAGGAGCTCTAGACACCATCCCTAACAATGTATGGTCCTTCAAATACCACAGAAAGTAAACCACAAGCCTCATGCAGGAAACAGGCACAGCACTGGCAGTGTACATATTCCCAGAAATAACATACATACACAAAATAACTAAATATAAAGATACAAAATAACACTTGGGGAATCTAGCTGGGTGAATTATGCCAGCATTCTTTGCACTGCTCTAGCAACTCCATTGTATAAACTTGAATAAACTACATTGAATAAACTTGTCAAAATAAAGTAAAAGAAAACAAATGGCAACAGTTACAAAAAAGTTACTAAGTGCTGGTGACTAAATTCTATAGCTTTCTATTTCCAGGTAATACTTATTGTATACATACAGTGGTACCTGACCATTTCCCCCTCCTCAAGTAAAGTTTTCCTTCTATATTTATTATGTATCTTAAGGAGATACTTTGAAATTATTGACACCACATCACTTCATCAGGCTTTCATATTGTTTTAACATACTCGCATACCGATTTCCATGTTACAGGATATTGACTTTTTTTTTTAATGAAAATTACAATGTGAGGACTGGAGATAGTACAACAGGTAGGGAATTTGCCTTGCAACCAACCAACCCAGGTTCAATCGCCAGCACCCCAAGTGGTCCCCCAGCACTGCCAGGAGTAATTCTTGAGGGCACAACCAGGAGTTACCGCTGGGTATGGCCCCAAAACCATAAAAAAAAGAAAACTTCAATGTGTTTGCAGGAAATAGAGATCCGTGATCCATTGATGCTTGCCTGAAACAAAGATCATATTTGTCAAAGTGAGTCTTTTCCATCATACCTCCTTTACCATTTAGGTGGTACTCTACTACAATGAACAACTTTTCCTTCACTGCAGACTCATGTTTTGTTTGTTTATTTTTGGTGATGATAGGGGATGAAAAACAAGGGCATCACATGTGTGAGACAGGTGCTGTTTGCTGGGCTACACCCCCACACTCCCTCCCCACCTCTCCTCCCTTAGATTCTCAGATAGTCATGTTTTTTTTTTTTAAAAAGGCTGCTACCAGATTCATCCAATTTAAGAATCCTGAATAAAATAAAACATGATTCTTTACTAATTTGCAAGGCTTCTTTAATTATGTATTAATCAGTTTAAACTAATAAGCAAAATATTATATAACTTTTCATTAGGACTTTTTTTTTTTAACCTTCAGTAGATGTTAAACTTTTTTCTCAAACATTTCAACTAAGAATAAAAATACTGCTGAAAATAGAAAATCCTGAGGACCCAATTTTAAAACATCTCTTAAGGATTTTTTCATTTTAATTAGCTTTTGTTTTTGGGCTCCAGTCAGTAGGGCTAAGGGGCTTACTCCTGGCTCTGCACTCAGGGATCACTCCTGGCAGTGCTACAAATGTAGCTCAGTGACACATTACCCACTTGCTTTGCATGTGTAAGGACTAAAGTTCAATTCCTTGCACCATATAGTCAGTCCCCTAACACTCTTGGAAGTAGCCCAGAGAAGGTATAACCCAAACCACTGCCACCTCCCCGCAAAAAATATTAAAGAAAGGAATTGAAACCTTGAAAAATAAAGATGCAGTTTTAAAAATATTAAGTTTCCCATGTCAGTCTAGAAAGAAAACTTTATTTAGTTTTTCGATCACACCCAGAGGTATTCAAGGCTGACTCCTGTTTCTGTACTCAGGGATCACTCCTGGCAGGGCTCAGGGGGCCATCTGAGGTGCCATGGATTGAACACAGGTCAGTTGCATGCAAGGCAAACACCTCACCCATTGTACTATAGTAGAAAAGACTACTTGAATGGATTATTTGAGTTTTAACGAGTAGTTTGCCCAAGTGTAGCCAATTTGATAGCTCTATGTTAAGTATCAGCTGGAGCGATAGCACAGCAGGTAGGGTGTTTGCCTTGCACGCGACCAACCCGGGTTCGATTCCTCCGCCCCTCTTGGAAAGCCCGGCAAGCTACCAAGAATATCCCGCCTGCACAGAGGAGCCTGGCAAGCTCCCCATGGAGTATTCGATATGCCAAAAACAGTAACAAGAAGTCTCACAATGGAGACTATACTGATGCCTGCTTGAGCAAATCGCTACTGTGCATGTTAAGTATATGTTCTTTGTTAAATAACTGATTACAAAAGGGATTAAAACTAATTTACAGATGAAGGGGGTTGAGCAATAGCACAGCGGGTGGGGCATTTGCCCTGCATGTGGCCACCCAGGTTCGATTCCCAGCATCCCATATGGTCCCCTGAGCACCTCCAGGGGTGATTCTGAGTGCAGAGCCAGGAATAACCTCTGTACATCGCCAGGTGTGACCCAGAAAGAAAAAAAAAAAAACCCAACTACTTTACAGATGAGGGAAAAAACTTGTAAATGGGGCCAGATAGAGAGAGTACGGGGTAAAGGCACTTACTTGCCTTGCACACTGCCAACCCCTGTTTGATCCCTGGCACTGCTTATAGTTCCCTGAGCACCACCAAACACAATCCCTGAACACAGAGCCAGGAGTAAGCCCTCAGTACTGCTAGGTGTAATAAGAAAATCAAACACAAAAAGGAAAAACAAAATTGTAAAAATTGTTCCTATGTCTGCAAGGGCCAAAGAGATAGCTGACTGTTAAAGAACATGCATTGCTTGCAAAAGTGCCGGTTCGATCCCTGGAGCCACCTGGAGCAACACTTGAGCACTGAGCAAGACAACTACAGCACACTGCTAGGTTTGTTCCCAAACCAAAAGGATATTTAAGAATATCTGTCCACAAAAAAGAACATTTGGTGACATCTGAATTCCTCACATCAATGTTATTTTCCAATTTTAGGAACTATTTGATGGCACTGAGAAAAATCATTTTCCATAGAAAATGTTTTGACCCAGTTTCTGAAGTAAATGCAAATAGTTACACCGAATTATATATACTAACCACTAAGATACTCAAGGATGAGGTAGAGTTTTCCACCAGTCTGAAAGGCATAAATTAAATCCACAATGAAGGGATGCTTTACTTCCTCCAGAATATTCCGTTCTGCTTTTGTATGAGCCGTATCTTTAGCATTTCTTACGATCATTGCCTAAAGGAAAAGAAATGATTCATAAGAACAAAACATTTTTATCCCATAGTAAATGGAATTATTTTGTGATTTTCATGCCAATATTAAACTATTAATTATGGTTCTCGCTAAAGATGGAAATAAGGTGAAGATACTCATTTTTTATGTTCACCTGCATTGTCTACATTTTTTGTCATCAATATGTATAGGAAAACCAAAAGGTTAAAAAAAAAAAAACTCTGTACAGACATCACACTTAGTGTCTATCATTATTGACCCTCCATACCAAGAGAAAAGAAGTAATTAGAGTCCCCCACCCAGAGGAGCCCAAATCTTAGGGAAGAGAGCTAAGACAAAGGAGATAAGTCTAAGGTGCTACAACTGAACAGAATGATTCACTGAATCTGACTGAAATGGCAAGAAGTCTTCTTGGAAATGGTGATCCAAAGCTGTATCACAAGACGTTGTAAAAAAAGAAATCTGCAGTGAAAAGAGGAGCGATGGAAGGATCAGAGAGATACAGAGGGGCTTCAGGAATTTGCCCTGCAAGCTGCCAATACTGGCTTAATTCTATGCACCAGATATGGTCCTCCAAGTGCTGCAAGGAATAAGCTCTAAGCACTGCTAGGTATAGCCCCTCCAAAGCAAAGACAATTTTTCAAAAAAAAAAGAGAACGACAGGACAAGCCTTTAGGGAAATCTCTAAGTAGTTCAGAAAGATCAAAGTGGGACAGAGAAATAGCACATGGTTAAGATGTTTGCTAGCACATAGCCAATGTACGCTCAATCCCCAGCATCACCAGGAATGATCCCTTAGCACAAAAAGCAAGGACTATGTCCTATGCCCTGAGGGTGTGACCCCCAAATGAAACAGAAATACAAACCCAGCATGATCAGAAGTGGTTAAACTGTATAGCGAGGCAGAGGTCAGAAAATGAAATACCTGAGTATCCAGGCAAAGGCATTTGAAGCTTAACTAAGAAAAAGAAAAATGCTGAGGTAAGGAAAATTTTTTAAAACTTTGGCATTAAGACAGATAGCCTAGTATGAAGTTTTAGGGAAGAAATAAAAACAGAAGTGTTAGTTTAGTAAAATACAAAGAACTCTTAAGAAAATAAAGTGGGTGGAAAAAAGGATAAAGGCATGTCAATAGTATTGCTTATTGGCTAAATACGAGAAGAATACTGTAGTTTCTACTTTAGTGACAGAATAAAATTGCTGTCATTCAATAACAGAGATGAAGAAAAGAAAGGTTTTAGGAAAATGAGGCAGTGCTTCAGACATGGTAAGTCTACATTCTACTACTAATTTCAGGTAATATATCAAATAAAGTGGAAAAGAGCATGCATATCTTGTTTTAGTTTCATTCTCATTTGTAAAAGAAACTTTTATTTTTCCACTTTTTGGGTAACATCTGGTGATGCCACCCTTAGGGGTTATTCCTGGCTCTGCATTCAGGAATTACTCCTGGTGATGCTCAGTGGACCATATGGAATACTGGGGATTGAACCTGGCTTGGCCACATGCAAGACTAACACCCTCCCCAACATACTATTGCTTCAGACTCAAGAGAAACATTCTCTGCAACCTAAATATCTATGAATGGAATGTTAGCTGAAAACCTGTGGAGTATCTACACAATGTGCAAAACAACTCCGGCCCCCAATCAAATTCTAAAACTATGAAAGACTATTAAATACTATAAAAACTGGAGCCAGAGAGAGAGTATAGAAGTTAAGGCACTTGCATAGAATGTGGCTGTGGCAACAACAATAGTTTGAATCCCGGCACCGCCAGGGTCATTCTCCAGCAGAACCAGAAATTACCCAAAACCTTGGGGCTGGAGTGATAGCACAGCGGGTAGGGCGTTTGCCTTGCACAGGGCCAATCTGGGTTAGATTCCCAGCATTTCATATGGTCCCCCAAGCACTGCCAGGAGTGATTCCTGAGTGCATGAGCCAGGTATAAGCCCTGTGCATCACCGGGTGTGACCCAAAAAGCAGAAAAAAAAAAATTACTCAAAACCCAAACACACACACCCAAAAAAGAAGATAAGAACCGAAGTATTAAAATCATGAACAGTTTCTGGGAAAAGAAAATTTTAATTTAAATTTAAAAAGTTAAAAATTCATCTTCTTATGGTTGCAGTAATAGCTTAAATGAATGGAATTCCATGCTTTGCATGAAAGTCCTGGGTTCAATCCATGGCACCATGTGGTCCCCTCAGCACCACAGAGAGTGACCTTTAAACAATGAACTAGGAGTAGCCCCCAAACACACCAAATGTGACTCAAAAATTAAATTGGGCTGGAGGGTCACATGACTTTGATTCTCAGCACTCCATTTGGTCCCCTAAGCATCACCAGGAGAGTTCCCTGAGCACAGTAAGGATAAACCCTGAGCACCATGAGATGTAGCCCCAAAACAACAAAAATTGGACTGAAGGGAGAACTCACTAGGTTAAGCACATGCTTTACATGAGAGATGCCTGGGATTGATCCCCAGCACATTATCCCAGAGTACCCCAGGAGTGACCTCCAAGCACAGGGTCATGGAGAGCCAGGAGTAACAAAAAATTAATTGATTAAAATAATGATAGTGGCATTTCCTGCATCTCTGCATGAAATGAGTGCTTCTTTTCTTTTACCCTATGGCCCCTCAGCTGGCATCTGACTCAGAAGAGCACTTTCTGACTTTAGGGCACACTTCTTCATTCTGGGGAAATGTCCCGCCATCTCTGGTTGAGATGTGTACTTTGCTCTTTCTACTCTGGAAAAGGCCCTGTTCTGAGCACATATTTTATATGTTCTGAGCCCAAATTTTACTCTCTTCATCTCACTTTCTTCACACTTCTCTCTGCACACCCCCCCCCATGCCCCCATGTACATCATTGTCTTTATTTTTAAGTCGATACTCATTAATTTCATTTAAAAAATTTTTTTGGTGTTTGGGCCACACTCCACTATGCCCAGGGATGACTTACTCCTGGCTCTGTGGTTATGGATCACTCTTGGCAGGCGTGGGGATATTACAGGTGCCTGGGATTGAACCCAAGTCAGATGCATGTAAGGCAACTGCTCTACCCTTTACACTATCTGCTGGTTCCAATTGTTTTTTCTTTTTATTAATTTTTAAATAGAGTTGTCTAAGATGATTTGTTACATTCAAAATTCCAACACCAATCCTACCATCTTTGCACAACCATTATTTCCAATTTTCCCAACCACCCCTCAAGCCTATCCCTACAAGCATACCCTGAATAATTTATTTTATATTGCTTGTTATAAATAATTCACTACAAATGATCAAGGAATGTTTTCTTAGAAGAAACTGTGTGAAGAATGTTGCATCGCACCATGGAGCCCTTAAGCCCTTGTATAAGAGATCACTAACATATCATTACAGGTGTAAGCCTTGTGTGTTTATATCTAGTTAATCAAGATTGGTTGCCTTCTTATTCCACATCCCATCCAATATGGTATGTTACTTCTGGTATATAAGTGATGTAAAGTTTGAGATGATATGTGACTGCAAATGTAGCCGGGTGCTGCAGAAATTTAAAAATTTTGAATGGGCTGATTCACAGTAGGAGTTAAAGTTTTAACTGGAGAGTGACTTTGGGTGCCCCAAACTACTGAGCCTTGGCATGGGGTCAGGAAGCATCTCTGTAACTTGTTGATCTCTTTCAAGATTTATGTATGAGTGTCTGAATCATGGCTGGACAATGAGGCAGTTCATGGGTGTGACTGCCAGACTTCCAGAAAAACAAGAAGATGAGGGGAGGTAGACCATCCCTGACTCCATGAGAGGCTCCAATTGTCTTTTTTTTTTGGGGGGGGGGTCACACTCGGCGATGCTCAGGGGTTACTCCTGGCTCATGCACTCAGGAATTGCTCCTGGCAGTGCTCAGGGGACCATATGGGATGCTGGGAATCGAACCTGTGTCGGTCATGTTGGCTGCGTGCAAGGCAAACGCCCTACCCGCTGTGCTATCGCTCCAGCCCCTCCAATTGTCTTTTAATGAAGTTTTCTACAGACATTTGCAGGATGCTTCCATTAATCAATCCCCAAAAGAACAAGTCATACAGAATCTATATTCAGTAAAACTAGGAAACACATGCAGCCCCACATCTCAAAAGGTGAAGACAGAGAAAGGTTAAAGTAGTACTACATGACATACTAAAGAGAAATGACATGAAAGAAGTTCATTCCATCTTCAGACACCTAACAGAATTCAAAGATTAGAGGTGGGCCAGAGAGAGAATACAAAAAAGGTTAAGATATTGGCCTTGAGCACAGCCAACCCTGGTTCAATTCCTTGTACCCCATATGGTTGTGCCAGGCATAATCTCTGAGCACAGAGCCAGGAATAAGTCCTTAGCACCACTGGGTTAGTCCAAAAACAAACAATCAGAAATGATGCTGGGAGCGTGGCTCACCAGTAGAGTATATATTCTGGTTAAGTGCAGCTCTTTGGCACATCCCCAAATCCCCCTGAAAACAACAACAACAACAAAAAGAAGATAGAAAACTAAAAACAAGGTTATCTAGAAATGTTTGTATAAGGAACATTCAACTAAGTGCAATTCTAAGAGAAATGGAAGAGGTAGAAATTTTCTGGGACTTGACTGGAGGGACAGAACAGCAGGCAGCCTTGCATGTAGCCAACTGGGTGCTCTCCCTAGAACCCCAAATGACCCCCCTCAAGCACTGCCAAGTGATCCTTGAGTTCAGAGCCAGGGCTAAGCGCTGAACACCACCTAGTGTACCCCATGCAGAATAAATAATGAGACAGAAATTTACAAAATTTTTTTTTTCTTTTTGGGTCACCAGCTTTGCTCAGGGGTTACTCCTGTCTCTGCGCTCAGGAAATACTCCTGGTGGTGCTTGGGGGACCATATAGGATGCCAGGGTTTGAACCTGGGTCAGCACCTGGAAGGCAAACACCCTACCCACTGCACTATCACTTCAGTCCCTACAAAAAAATTTTTTTTAAAAAATATCACTTAAAAGAAATTACTTTTTAATCGGTTAAAACATGTGTAGTTGGGGCTGGAGCAATAGCACAGCGGGTAGGGCGTTTGCCTTACATGCAGCCAACATGGCCGATCCAGGTTCGATTCCCAGCATCCCATATGGTCCCTTGAGCACTGCCAGGAGTAATTCCTGAGTGCATGAGCCAGAAGTAACCCCTGAGCATTGCTGGGTGTGACCCAAAAACCAAAAAAAAAAAAAACCACATGTAGCACTGTTTTCCCGCTGTTCATCGAATTGCTCAAGCGGGCACCAGTAACGTCTCACAATAAATTGTGAGACTTGTTACTGTTTTTGGCATACTGAATACTCCATGGGGAACATGACAGGCTTTGCCGTGTGGGCGAGATACTCTCAGTAGCTTGCCGGACTCTCCAAGAGAGGCGGAGGAATAGAACCAAGGTCAGATGCATGCAAGGCAAACGCCCTATCCGCTGTGCTATTTCTCCAGCCAAAATGTGTATGGTACATAATTTAAGAGTCACAAATGGATATACAGCAAAAATAGGTCTCCCTCATTTCTTTTTCCATTCTTGTGTTAACTACTATTTATTTACTGGGCAAAAAAAATTTTTTTTTCTATAACTGAAAGACTGGAACTAATTTTTTTTGTGTATTTCCAGAAATCAAACATATATATAAGGCAAGTGCTCATTCACAGAGCAACGTCCCCCAGTTTCAAAACAAAGACCTATGAAAGAGTGAAAATAATGAGTAAGAATCCAAGCAGAAGAGACACATCACTATAACTAGAACATTAGAAATAAAATTTTAGGGCCAGAATGATAGTACAGCGGGTAGGGTGTTTGCCTTGCACAAGGCCAACCCAGGTTCGATGCCTGGCATCCCATATGGTCCCCCAAGCACCGCCAGGTGTTATTCCTGAGTGCAGAGTCAGGAGTAACTCCTGAGCACCTCTGGGTGTGACTCAAAAAGCAAAAGGGAAAAAAAAAAAACTTTAAATATTTTCAAAGAGAAACAGATCTGTAAAAGATCTATTATTATCTTTTAATAACATCAAGATAATACCATCAAGGGACTGGAGTGATAGCACAGCAAGTAGGGCATTTTGCCTTGCACGCGACTGATCTGGGTTTGATTCCCAGCATCCCATATGGTCCCCTGAACACTGCCAGGAGTGATTCCTGAGTGCAAAGCCAGGAGCAACCCCTGAGCATCGCCAGGTGTGACGCAAAAAGCAAAAAAACATAAATAAATAAAATAAAAAATAATACCATCAAGAGACTTCTAACAGAACCACTCAAATCTTAATGCAAATGAAGCAAAACCCTGAGACAAATTGTTTTCAACTTTAAAACCATATATGAACAAGAATAAAGATATAAAGAAAAAAAATTCTCAGACCAGAGAGATAGTCCTTTGCCTGCTAGAGGCCTGGGTTCAATCTCTGATAGTACATAGTTTCCCAAGGACCATTCCCGGAGTGGCCCCTGAGCACTGCTGGGTGTGGCGTAGAAACAAAATACAGAGATAGTATGAGATAGTACAGCTGGTTAAGGAATTGGCACAGCTTACCCAGGTTCAATACCTGGCATCCAATATACACAGTCTCCCAAGAGGGATCCCTGAGCACAATGTCAGGGTTAAGCTCAAGCATAGCTGGGTGTAGCTCTTCCCAAAAAACATATTTTAAAAACTAAAACTTTGTAAGTAAGTTTCTTTATCTTCATGCATGCTTCATACCCAGGTTCTAGGGGCAAGAGCGATAATATAGCAGGTGGGGCACTTGCCTTGCATGTGGCAAACCTGGGTCCAATCCCAGACATTCCAGCTGATCGCCCCCCAGCACTACCAGAAGTAGAACAGCCCCTATCCCAGGGGCAAAACATAACATAACATAAATGCGGGCTCTAGAAGATGATCCAAAATAAGGTAACAACAGCTGCACAGATATTAGCAGGTAAAGTGCTTGCCTTGCATATAGAGGATACTCGGGTTCAACTCCAGCATATGGAACAATTCCTGAGCACAGAGCTAGAAATAAGCCCTGAGCACTACCAGCTGTAGGACAAGGATAAAGGCGAAGAACACAAGCATAGATTGAGAAAAAAAAAAAAGGATAAAAGATCAAGATACGAAAGATAAAGGATCAACACTGAAGGAATCAAGGGGATTCCTAGGGCAAAGTCCATCTATGATTCATATCCTACAGAGGGACAAGTACAGATGGAAACAAGGAAATAGCTTATAAAATGTCTCCAGAAAAATAAATAAAAATGACAGATTAATAAGTCTCACCACAGAAAAATAACTGAATTTCTATAGTTTGGGGAAAGTACGAAAATAAGACAGCAAGTTACAACAAAGCACAATCAAAGATTAGAAGAAAAGAGTAAAATAGGAAATCAAGATATGTTTAAAACTACTGAATTAAGTGACAGCATTGCATGATTACTGAGGAACACAGAACCCAGAACAGAGTTCAGAGAGTTCAATTAAAAACTTCAAATGCTCTTCTTTCCACCCTCTCCAAGAAAAAACAGAACAGCAGTCCAACATATCTTACATTCTTAAAGAAGTTTTAATTATATCAGGAATATATTTTTCACTGAATCAAAAATGCAAATTGCATAGGATCTAAGAATATAGTAGGAGGCTGGAAACAGCGCAAGAGTTGATAAGCGCACGCTTTGCATGCAGGCCTGGGTTCAATTCCAGCACCACATGGTCCTCTGAGCACTGCCCAGTGTGGCCCTTAAAAGGAAAAAAAAAAGAATATGGTTGGGAGAGAGAAAGAAGGAATCACCTTTTTAAGCACCTTCATGGCAAATATTTTCCCAGTATTTGCTCCTGTTACTTTTCGTACTTGAAAAACCTAGACAAAAAATAAAATATTAAAAGCCAAATTTTGCTAATAGCCTTTCCTTATATTCTACTTTTAAGAACAAATAATATAGCAGTTTAATATCTCATAAAAAAAATACCATGAAGGACTATGAGTTAAAAGAGCCAACTGTGTAACAATTAGTGGTGAAATATGATATGGAGCTTTTCCTATTGGGCCTGCTGCCATCTGGTCCAAAATTTGACAATAATATTATTTTGGTGAGAACTTTTATTAATTTCTGCTACTCTTCTAGTGAATGCCTTGTGTTGTTTTCCGTAAAATTATTTAATGATAGTTGAAAGGAATTACCACTTACCTAGCCCTTTAAATGGCTAACTAAAACATTTTCATAAAACAGTCAAATTAAAATATGTGAAGCTCACAGTGTATATGTTACACATTCAGGATAATTAGAACATAGTAGAATGTATCCATGAAGACCAAGGATGTAGCTCAACAAGTGTATGTTTTCTATGTATGGGACCCTGGGTTCTACTGCTAGTCTACCCCACTACTCCATCAAAAACAAATAGAATACATCCTCTGAATCTGAGATTACAAGTCACATTTTGCAAGATATTAGAATTACACAATAACAAATGGTTTTAAACTTAATCCAACACAATATTCAAACTCTGTCTTTTAAAAGAAAATGGCTAGAAATAAATTTTCTTGGACAGACCATGCAAACATGAGTTCATAACTTAGAAAGCTTTCGGATAAAACTATAAAACTGCTCATTTTTCTTCTCCCCTCTCATATTCTTCAGTTTCCCTGAAAGAAGTTCTATTGCTCTAGGAAGTACAAATCAAACGATATCAATTCAGATTAAGGTATTAGGAAGAGGCAACTTATATGCGCCATACCTCTTGGAAGTAAGAAGTGGTCTGTTTGAAAAAATGAGTCTTATAGTAGGGGCTGAGGGTGTAATTGCTGAATTACACGCTTTCCCTATATGAGGCTCTAGTTTCAATCCCTGGCATCACACATATACACAGAAAAAGGTAAGTATGAAAGTTTAGGAATGAATCCTCTAATAACATACTGCCCGGCACAGTTTAAATAGCACAACCTATTAATTCAACAAGCACTGAGTGTGTTATGTGCCAGACTTACATATATGGTGTTTTGGAAGAAAAGAACTATGTGTCTCTCAGGTAATATCAAGTATGTAATTCTGCCCTGTACTAATAGCTAGCAAACAAAGACTAAAGAAGACAGCAACGAGAGTATGAAAATCAATCTAACCAAAACAGAAGACAGGTCTCATCATTTCAAAAATACTTCCTACCTTTCCATAGCCTCCTTTACCAAGTACCCGAAGTAGCTCAAAACATTCTGGTCTGATTTTTTCTGGCCCTCTGTTCACACTAGTTTCTGAGATTTCAAATTTCTCACAATGTTCCATGCCACTGGGGAGAGAAGCAAAACAAGTAAATTTGCAAAATGTTAAATTACCTTCGGCACTCTGTTAGGAAGAAAAAAAAGAGAAATATAATTCAATTAAGAAAAAGAGCAAGAAAGACAAGATGGCAAATTTAATATCTGTGCTCCAAACTAAAGATTCAATGACACAGCAGATTAAGAGGACAGTGGCTTATTATTTGTTTACTTATTAGAGTTTTTACAAAATGTACTATTATTTTCAAATGCATCAAGCACACCTAAACTAAAGCAAACAGAATAACTTCATCAAATCATGATGGAAAAATGCCTTTTATTACAATTTAGTTCATTTAAACATTTGTTCAAGGGCCCAGGATGCAGCATAGCTACAGAGCACTGGATGTTTGTAGTAGGACTAAGTCCCTGGGTTCTAACCCTGACACTAATTGGGGGGGTGGGGGGGGAAGAATATATATATAAATGGATACAATTTAATAGGTAGGAATTAGGTAACATCTCTTTGGTAATTTAGCATAAATCTGTGATCTTTTTAAAACTACCCATTAAATTTGTATTTATGTCACAAAAATTCTTTCTAATAAAACTTACCCATATATTTTTTCAAGCCTGCTTGATTTAAAGACTCCCAAAGGGGGGTAATTTTCTGTCATTTAAATACTTTTAAGAGTGAACTCAGTCTAGTCCCTGGTCCAAGGATTTTTACCTGGGGAGTAAGAGTAATCACTAAATACTATCCCTAAAATGTCCCAAGGGGGGTCAAAGCAATAGTACAGTGGGTAGGGCTTGCCCTGCACATGGCCGGGTGATCCTTGACATCCCATATGGTCCCCTGTGCACCACCAGGAGTGATTCCTGAGTGCAGAGCCAGGAGTAACCCCTGAGCATCACTGGGTGTGACCCAAAAGGAAAAAAAAAAAAACAAAAAAAAAGGGCACCAAGGTTGGCTTAATAGCTGTTTAAATGAGATATTACAGGGCTGGAGCAATAGTATAATAGGTAGGGCAGTTACCTTAACCTCTGTTCAATTCCTGCTACTCATGGAACTCCTAGCCTGCTGGGAGTGCAAAGGCAGGAGATGGAAGTAAGCCCTGAGACACTTATCAAAAAAATTTTAATACGTAAATGAGGTATTACAAATTATACAAGAAATATTTAACTTTTGGAACCATTTTTCTTTTTCAGTAAGAAAAAAGTTCTTTGAAGCCAGTTATGTAATTCAGTGGTAGATCCCTGGAACAAGTTTCCATAATAAAGCAATAAAAAACTAGGGCTTGAGAAACTGGAACAATAGTATCTCAGGTAAGGCACTTGCTTTGCATGCAGCCAACCCAGGTTCACTCCCCAGCATCCCATATGGTCCCCTGAGCCCCACCAGGAGTAATTCCAGGGCACAGAGCCAGGAGTAATTCCTGGGCCCTGAGCACCACCAAGTATGCACCCCAATCAAAAAATAAATTCTGGGCCCTGACTTGCTCTTCAAGCCCATGTTCTCCCTTGAACATGTATCACCCTTGCTAGTCTCTGTTTCTTAGTTTGCCTTTTTCCATTCTGAATAAGCCTCCCTCAAACAAGTGTTCTCTCCTGTACTTCTCCCTTTCTCTTCCTTCACATCTTTCTACATAAGTTTCAATAAAAACTTTCTTGCTTCACACACAAAATCTAGTTCCAGGGAGATGGTACAGGGGTTACGGAGCTTGCTTTACATTCATTCCACAGTCCCCAATACTACATATTTCCCCTGAACACTACTAGGGGTCATGCCCGACCAAAGAGCCAGGAATGGCTCCTGAGCACTGTCATGTATGGCACAACACTTCTGCCAATTACAATATTAAAAATTCTAAATCAACTCAGTCTAATGTTCAGTGTATGTAAATCTGAATATATTTTCCTCAAAATCCACACAAAAAGTTTTTATTATTACTTTGCTGCCAAAATCAATAGATCATGTCTACATAAAACGATTACATATACAACTGATTATTGGAATTACATAGTAGTTATGAACTAGGAATTATATAACCTACTAGTAAAGAAGACAGCAAAAGAAAATCTTTTCAAGTAGACTTACAGTTCATATGGTCCAACTCCCCCATGGTCCATGCTTTCATTTAATTGACCCTGAAAAATGTTAAAATTTTTAAAATAAATAATCTCAATCTCATAAACAAAAAATAAAGTTCTGATTCTTTACCCAATTATTGTAGGAGAATGAACTGAACCAGTTTTAAAAGTATCTATGGAGCCAGAGTGATAGTACAGCGGGTAGGGAATTTGCCTTGTACATGGCTGATCCAGATTCAATTCTGGCATCCCATATGGTCTCTGGAGGACCACCAGGAGTGATTCTTGAGTGCAGAGCCAAGACTAACCCTTGAGCATCACTGGGTGTGACCCCAAAACCAAATTAAATAAATAAAAATAATAAAAGTATCTATACTTTAATAACAGGAAAATATGATGATGATTAAATTAAGGTACAGAAACAATACTACGGGTATGACACTTGCAATTTTATGACAACTAAAGCTATAGGCACCACTCATCAGTGATTTTTCCTTCAAAATTTGTATTTAACAAATACTTTGGATGTATTATGAAACTAAAGGCACTTATATTAGTATGAGAACTACTAAATCATTGATTTCTACTACTACTGACTTTTAACTACAAATTACCCAGTCAAGATAGTATGGTGTTAGCAAAAAGATCAATGAAATAGAACTGAGCTCAGATATAAACCTTTACATTTACGGTCAAGTGACTTCTGACAAGGATGCCAGCAAAATTTAATGGAAGAGTATCTAGATGGAAAGCAAGGCTATAGCAGGTAAGGCAGGATTAAGCCCTGAGTACTGTGAGGAGTGGTCAAAAAAAGAAAGAAAAATGTCTAGTGAGTAATGCAAGACAATTTGGTATCTACTTGTAAAGAAATACTACTTTGAGCTTTTTTTTTTCTTTCTATTTTTGGGTTACACCAGGCAATGCTTAGAGGTTACTTCTGGTTCTGTACTCAAGAATCACTCCTGGCAGTGTTGGGGAACCATATGGAATGCTGGGGATTGAACCCAGGTCGGCTGTGTGCAAGGCAAAGGCCTTATCCACTTGTACTCTCACTCCAGCCCCCTACTTTGAACTCTTATCTAATAAAAAGGTAAAGGTAAAGGCCCTCCCGTTGATCGTCAATTTGCTCGAGCAAGCCCAGTAACGTCTCCATTGGAGACTTTGTTGTTACTGTGTCTGGCATATCGAATACTCTCGGTAGCTTGCCGGGCTCTCTGAGAGGGGCGGAGGAATCGAACTCGGGTCGGCCATGTTGGCTGCGTGCAAGGCAGACGCCCTACCCACTGTGCTATCGCTATACAAAAATTAACTCAAAATGGGTAGCAGAAGGCTGGAGAAATAGAAGAGGTGTTAAGGCGTTTGTCTTGTGCAGAGCCAACCATTGTTGATTCCCAGTACTGCACCATCAAGAGTTATGTCTGAGCATCACTAGGTGTGGCCCAAAAACAAAACAACAGAAGTGGGACAACAGGCCTAAATTTACGAGCTCTATAAAGAAGAAACTATAAAGAAAAAATCCAAGAGAGCAAATCTTCATGACTTGAAGTAACAAAGGGGTGTGTGTGTGTGTGTGTGTACGCAAGCTAGGGAGTGTAGTGGGAGGAACCACACCTGGCAGTGCTCAGGGATCACTCCTGAGGTGCACAGAGGACTATATGGGGTGCAGGGGACTGAACCTGGGTTAGCCTGTGCAAAGCAAGTGCCCTGTCTGCTGTACTATTTCTCTGACCCCATAAAAGCATTATCACCAACTTGGAGAGACAGTTCATGGATTGGAGCTGAAGCTTTGCATGCTGGAGACACGGGTTCAATCCCTGGCACTACAGCACCACCAAGTGTGGTCGAACAAACGCCCCCTCCTGACCCCCCCCAAAAAAGACATCACCAAAAGTACAAGATAATCTTGTTCAAATCTGAGCTGAACAACAGTACAATGGATAAATTATTTGCCTTGCACCAGGCTGACCTGGGTTCGATACGTGACATCCCATATGGTGCCCAGGAGTGATTTCTGAGTGCAGAGCCAGGAGTAACCCCTGGTCATAGCAAGTATGACCCAAAAGCAAAAAAACAAAAGATCTTTTTCCAATGTAAAAATTCTGTGTTTCAAATGACACTATCAAGAAAGTTAAAAAAGAAAACTCTTAAGATAAAACTATAAAGAACTTTTGTTTTTTAATTCAACTTAAAAGAAGATAAATAGTGGGTTGAAGAGATAGTTCCACTACAGTGTATGCTTTTCATGTGGGAGGCCCTTGTTCACTTTTGGGCAACACATGGTGTCCCAAGCAGAGCCAGGACAAGCCCCAGTGTTCTGGCATAGCCCCAAAAAGTAAAAGAAGAATGGGCTGCAAAGATAGCTCAAAGAACTGAAGTGCACTCAGGAGCCCCAGGTCCAATCCCTGGCACCATATGAAGCCTGAGGACCAAGTCAAAAGTAACCCAAGGACCACCAAGTGTGGCCCCCAAATAAAAAATAACAATAGGAACAAGACAAATAAACCAAATCTACAAAGAGTTGGAAAATTGAGCTGGAGGAAAGCTAAGGTGGTGGAACACATGCCCTGCATGTTTGAGGTCCTTTAGTTCAACCCCACGTACCACAGGTCTTTCCCTCCTTGGCAGAGACAGAAGTGGCCCCGCAGGCCCCAGAGTTCAGGCAGCCCCCAGATCTTAATAGCAATTCCTCCAAAGATTACATACAAATTGACAATAAGCACACAAAGCAACCTTCAAAACCATTGGCTATTTGGGCAATGCAAATCCTAATCAAATGAGGTTCCACTTCACCATAATTAAAAGGCAGAGATGGGGAAGGAGCAATAGTATAGTGGGTAAAACACCTGCTCTGCATGCCATCGACCCAGGTTGATCCCATATGGTCCCCTTCCTGAATGCAGAGCCAGAAGTAACCCCTAAGCATTGCCAGGTGTGCCCTCCCCCCATAGAGACAATGTACACCCCACACACTGGTGCCACCACTGGTGGAAAATAAAATGGAGCCACCACTTTGGAAAATAGCTTAGCAGTGTCAAAATTTAACTTAGAAGACCAGGAATGTCTTTAGTGGTAAATCAAATAAATCATGTGTGAGACCACATCAAAAATTTCAACACAGATTATAGAACTATACATATATTTTTTAAAAAATTAATGAAGAAATGAAAAGAAATATTTTTTAATTTTTTATTTTTATTTTATTGAATCACTGTGAGATATAGTTACAAGCTTTCATATTTGAGTTACAATCACACAATGATCAAATACCCATCCCTCCACCAGTGCACATTTCCCACCACCAATATCCCCAGTATACGCCCACTTTCCCACCCTCCCACTGCCTCCATGGTAGGCAATATTCCCCATACACTCTCTGCTTTTGGGCATTATGGTTTGCAATACAGATAATGAGAGGTTATCATATTTGGTCCTTTATCTACTTTCAGCACACATCTCCCATCCCGACCAATTCCTCCAACCCTCATTTTCTTAGTGATTCCTTCTCTATTCCAGCTGCCTTCTCCCCTCTGCTCACGAGGCAGGCCTCCAATTATGAAGCAATCTTCCTGGCCCTTGTATTTACTGTCCTTGGGTGTCAGGTTATGTTATTTTATACTCCACAAATGAGATGAACAGAAATTTCCTCAAAGAATATGGCCAGAGGAATATGAGAAAATGTTCTCCATCATTAATCTTCAGAAAAATGCAAATTAAAACAACAAATGAGATACCACACCAGAGTCCGAGACACATCAAAAAGAACAAGAACCAGTATTGGTGTGGATGTGAGGAAAAAGGAACTCTCCTTCACTGTTGGTGGGAATGTCCACTGGCTCAGCCTAAAAACAAAATAAATAAGAATTTAGCTTCCATTTGACCCAGCAATTCCACTTCACGGGATATATCCCAAGGTACTAAAACCAAAATGGAGAAAAAGATATTTGCACTACTATGTTCCTTATAGCATTATACACAACAGTCAAAATCTGGAAACAACCCAAGAGTCGAAAAATAGATGCCTGGATAAAGAAACCATGGTACATATACACAATGAAATATTACTCAGCCATAAGAAAAGACAGAATCATGCAATTTGCTGCTATGTGGATGAATCCGGAGAGTATCAAGCTGAGTGAAATTAGTCACAGGGCGAGAGAACAACACAGAATGAGCTCTCTAACATCCAGGGTATAAAGAAACATAATGGTGGAACAATGACTGCCCAAAGGCAATGGAAATAAAGAACGTGAGAACTGGTCTTCTGTAGGAAGCATTCCACTTGGGGAGAACGGGGTATAAGATAGAAAAGAAGCTACAACTATGGTGGAGAAGGGTAAAGGGTGACAGGTAAAGTGCTACTCAAGAAACCCTATTCATGAAACAGTACTGTAAAACACAGTGCCAAAAGTCATAAAAATCATTAAAAAAAGCGCCTTTTATAAAGGCAGGCAGTGAGGTGGAAGTCAGGGCGGCGTGCTCCACTGGTGGAAGGACTGGTACTGAGACATCGTATACCTGAAACCCAATCATGAATAACTTTGTAATTCACAGTTAATTAAATTAAAAAAAATCAACATATAACCAGGAATAGTGATAGGGAATGTACCTCGCATGTGCAAGGCCCTAAACACAAACCCCAGTATTGCAGGGCTCCTCAACACCACCTGGTGTGGCCCTGGTGGCCCATAAGTACCACCAGTCAGCACTAGGCTGATCATCACCTAAATTAGTCCCATACACCTGACAACTACCAGATATGATCATATACATATGGTCAAGGCTCACTCAAGGCAGGACTTGGAGGACCATATGGCGTGCCAGGAATTGAATCTGGTTCAGTCACTTGCAAGGCAAGCACCCTACTTGCTGTACCGTTGCTACAGCCATAGATACATATACATTTTATACATAATATAAACATATATACATATATATTTAAACTAAGCATATCACATGAGCCAGCAAATCTAAACCCAATTTACTCAAGAGAAATACTATCTTCAAAAACTTGACACAAATATTCACAGTAAGTTAAAAGGAAATACAAATGACCATCA